TCGTACTTCATATTTCATCATGACTGAACAGACACCCAAAGTACTCAAGCTTAAGACTTTGTCCCCGCCTTCGTTTCAACTTATGTCTTTCTGGCCCGACAACATCGAAGCCTGGTTTTGCTACGCAGAAGCCAACTTCTCCGAGCACGGCGTGATCGACACACGTGCACAATTCCTCGCAGTAGTCAAGGCACTACCGCAGGAATTCAACAGGTACGTAACACCTAGTATGTTCACTAGTGATGTTTCCGAACCTTACGACAACTTGAAACGTTCGATTCTAAAACGAGGAGACCTAACCGATCGACTAAGTTTAGATCAACTCTTCAATAACATCGAACTGCAACACGGTTCTGCGACGGACATGCTGCAACGGATGAGGGAGGTTATAGGCCCAAGAACTTTCGACGAAGGTCTATTCAAACAACTTTTCTTATCTAAACTTCCTCAACAGGTGCAAGCAGTTCTGGTCTCGTTTCAGAACAACGCCTTAGACGAGCTAGCTGCATCTGCCGACCGCATTTTAGAAATTACGAAATCTTCTACGACAGAGGTTTTTACAGTCAAAGGAAAGCCTCAAACGACTCAGAGTGACATAACCGAGTTATGTCATACACTCACGCGTTATCTTAATCTTCGTAACGACCGTAAGAGATCGCGCACTCCACGTAGAAGCATTTCACGTAAGCGATCTGTCTCTAGACCACGAGAGATGGATAACCCCGACTGGTGCTGGTATCATAACCAGTATGGAAAGTTTTCCAGAAATTGCAGAAAACCCTGCAATTTTCCCAATACGAAACCGAGTGACTCGAGAAACAACTCGGGAAACTTCCAAGCCGGCACGCGTTAACGGCAACCGTAGCCGGCAAACATAGCCGTCTGTTATACGTTCTCCCAGCAACTCCTAACGACCGGCTTAACGGATCGACTCTAAACTTACAGGCGGCAAACGGAAAACCGATCGCTACGTATGGCAAAAGGTACGTTTACCTTAACGTGGGTTTACGCAAACCCATCCACTGGATTTTCGTTGTTGCAGATGTTTCTATGCCAATCATTGGTATGGACCTTCTACAACACCATAATCTGATCATCGACACGCGCAAACGGAGGCTAGTAGACGGAAACACTAATTTGTCCGTTTGCGTAACTTCTTCTTCTGGTTGTAGATTATCCCCAGTCACAATTAAGCATATGATAGACCCACTCTATCAACCACTACTCGATAAGTACCCTGGGATACAACAAACGCAACCGAAACTACCGTGTGTAACCAGCAACGTTACACATCACATCACGACTACAGGACCACCTGTATTTTCTAAAGCACGACGACTAGCTCCTGAAAAGCTAAGGTTAGCGAAAAACGAATTCGACCACATGATAGACTTAGGAATCATACGACCGTCAAGTAGCCCATATGCATCTCCGTTGCACATGGTCCCTAAAAAGGACAGCAACGATTGGCGTCCAACTGGTGACTATCGGCGATTGAACGCGAAAACCATTCCCGATCGTTACCCGTTGCCTCACATTCACGATTTGACAGCTACCTTGAAAGGTACAACTGTCTTTTCGAAAATCGACTTGGTTAAAGCGTATAACCAAATCCCTATGGCTACTGACGACATACCGAAAACAGCTATCATAACTCCCTTCGGACTCTATGAATTTTTGCGAATGCCTTTCGGTCTAAGGAACGCTGCTCAAACATTCCAAAGATTCATAGACGACGTTTTTCGAGGTCTCAACTTCGTACACGCGTATGTTGACGACTGTCTAATCGCAAGTCCGGACAGAGAAACACATCTCAAGCATCTGGATCTTGTTTTCGAACGATTACAAAAACATGGCATACTGTAAACGTTCAGAAATGCCAATTCGGAACCGACTCGTTAGACTTTCTGGGACACACTATCGATGCTCAAGGTATCCGACCCCTTAGAACCAAAGTGGCGGCCATTCTGGATTACCCAGAACCGACCACCGTCAAGCAATTACGCACGTTTAACGGCCTGGTAAGTTTCTATAGACGTTTCATACCGAATGCGCATTACTTATGAAACCTCTGACCGACCAACTTCGTGGAAATGCGAAATCCATTAATTTGGACGACACCGCACGAAAAGCATTCTCCACAGTTAAGGAACTGATCGCTAAAGCAACAATGCTCGCACATCAGGACACCGAGCACCCATTAGCATCGCAGTAGACGCATCCGACTCGGCAATCGGAGGAGTCTTACAACAATGGGTTAACAACTCCTGGCAACCCTTGGCATTTTTCTCTAGAAGGTTGCTAGACACCGAATCGAGGTACAGCACATTCGGTAGGGAACTCCTAGCTATGTATTGTGCTGTACGGCATTTCCAACACTATATCGAAGGCCGTGAATTCACTCTTTTCACGGACCATAAACCGCTCACTTTCTCGTTAAGCTCTCCTTCTGACAAGTACTCTCCCCGTGAGTCTCGACAACTGGACTACATTTCGCAGTTTACTTCAGATATTCAACACATTCTGGAGCAAACAATGTAGTTGCAGACGCCTTATCTCGCATAACTTCCTTGAACAGTTTCCAAGGAATCGACCTTCTTAAACTCGCCGAGCTTCAAAAAGAAGACAGTGATCTTCAGCACGAGTTATCGTCCACAACACTTAAACTACGCATCAAACAGATGGGAACAGGTAAGGAAACCTTACTTTGTGACACATCTACAGGTAGGGATCGCCCAATCGTGCCGAAACATTATCGACGCAATGTCTTCAATACATTGCACAAACTTTCTCATCCAGGTGTTCGTGCAACCATCAAGCTTATAGCAGAACGTTTTTGCTGGCCTGGCATGAATAAAGACGTGAGGGAGTGGGCACGCTCCTGTGTAAGCTGCCAAAAATCTAAGGTTATCAGACACAATAAATGTCCCTTAGGCTCGTTTAAAACTCCCGATGCTCGTTTCGACCATGTTCATCTGGATTTGGTAGGACCTTTACCAGATTCAAATGGATACTCTTACCTCTTAACCTGCGTAGACCGTTTCACTCGATGGCCAGAAGCAGTACCTATCAAGGACATCACTGCTGAAACAGTGGCCCGCACATTCGTCGAACGATGGGTAGCAAACTTCGGTTGCCCTTCAACCATCACTACAGACCGCGGACGTCAGTTTGAATCTGATCTTTTCCGTCGTCTGACCACACTTTTAGGAATCACTCGCTTCCGAACGACCGCCTACCACCCACAAGCAAACGGGTTGGTAGAACGTTTTCACCGACAACTAAAAGCTTCACTATCAGCTGCAAACGTTTCACAGTGGACCGACGCTCTTCCACTCGTCTTACTAGGTATCCGCAATGCAGTGAAAGCTGACATTGGATACACTGCGGCTCAACTCGTTTATGGAACGACACTTCGACTTCCAGGAGAATTCGTGGATCCTTCGTGCTCTTCGATGAACATGGATCTAACCTCCTACACGAACAGGCTTACAAACGCAATGCGTTCAGTTAAACCTGCTTCCACTCGACCTCAATCAACTGATGTTTTCGTTCAACCTGACTTACGATATAGTACACACGTTTTCGTTCGTCGAGACTCGCATCGACGACCATTCGAATCAGCATACGAAGGACCTTTCAAAGTTCTTCAACGTGAATCTAAGTACTATATAGTCGATAAGAACGGAACCAACGATAGCATCAGCATCGATCGCTTAAAAGCAGCGTATTTAGAAGGAAATCCTATCTACGTCGATTTTCCTTCGGTACAATCGAACGACACGACTCCACTCATAATTCCTCAACCGACAACCAACACTGGCGATGATACTCCGAATGTATCTGAAAATAAACTTAAAACGACGCGTTCTGGAAGAAGAGTTAGATTTCCAGAGCATTTAAACGACTATTGCACGTAAGGCACTACTAGACATTGAATATTATCTCGGTCTTTCTTTTCACGATATATATTTTTTTTAAAAAATAAAATTTTAATATGCTTATGTATTTTTATTCCAAAAAAAAACAAAAAAACATTATGAATTTTTTTTAACGATATTACGTGTAAATTAGCTTATATTCCAATTTTTTTCGCCGACATATTGTTTTCACGCACATACGAGTGTATTTCGACATGCACTTACATGTTCTTTTTTCTTTTCCAGGACGGCTGGAAAAGAACGATGACGTTTATGAGGAAGTGAAACTTTCATTGTACATTTTCTTTTTTTACTATGTTGTACCTCGGTCCCATATGGTAAGGAAAGACGACCAGACGCTGCTAATCCTAGCAAGCTATCAGAAGAGTGTTTACCAACGACAAACTCGCTGGGTTTAAACTTCTGGCTGGTCACGTCTTAGGGTCATCGCTAACCCACTAGGGGGGGAGTGATCTGTAGCGGTAAATAAACCCACAAAATAAATAGCCCTGTAAGTTTTCGACATTGGATGCTGACCATATGTTTTAGTGGACTCTCGTTATTGACAGCTAATCGTACCGTTTGTTGGATCGACATACTCTTAGTCTTCAAGGATAGCCACATGAGTTATAAAGCTCGAATACCGTAGACGGAATCATCATGGTCCGTGTCATTTAGGACATCTTGAACAATGACAATTGTTCCGTGAACGAACGTTTCGCGAGTTTTTCTGAAATTGAGCTCAGGATATGATAGATCAAACTGCATGTTCATATTCCCTTCTGATTTCAGCAAGTTACTGGCCAACAGAACATCCTTCATGTCATTAGCAACAGTGGACGCTACACGAAGGAGCCTTGGATGATTTTTGAGTTTGGTAGCAATGTCTCGTGTAATCCGTGTAACCAATAGTGGCTCGATTTCGGGAGTATTTTGTGAATTCTGAGGAACGACTGACACTATTTGACGTGTAGTATGTGGATAACTCCTTACTTCATACTCCTTTGCTTTGTGTTTTCTAGAGTCAATAACCATACCAATGGAGCGTTAATCAAATAAATATTTAGGCGCCATTGTGGGTCCAAATGTCCTTGTGTTTAAAGGCTTTCTTCATCGTCGTACACATTTTCTTTCACTCTAACTGCTATATACAGCGAGGTTTGGAAGATCCATACGCTGAAACACCTAAATGTGAACCTATACGTATAAAGGCTTGTCAGGATCTACCATACAACATCACTATATTCCCAAATGATATGGGGCACGCTACTCAAGATGATGCCGCCCAGGAGATCGGTCAATATACACCATTAGTTCGAACTACTTGCAGTTCTTCCTTAAAATTGTTTTTATGCTCGTTATTTTTCCCTGTCTGCACTGGAATGAAAAAACCGTTACCTCCTTGTCGATCTTTGTGTGAACAAAACCGTAAGGACTGTGAACCACTTATGCGGGGTTTTCACTTTGAGGTGGTTCTTATTCGTATCTTATTTTTCCCTAGTGGCCAGAAATAATGAATTGTGATCGTTTCCCAGAAGATTCGTTGTGTATAGCTGAAAATAAAACAGAAAAACGGGTTTCTAAGGAACCTTCGTTCGTGTGCCCTGTTCATATGAGAGTAGGTTGTACAGGATTCCTTAATATGCACTAACGTTCTAGGTTCCTCCGAGTTTCGAATTCCGTATAAGAATGAGCAGGAATCAAATCATTCAAGACTGTGGAATTCCTTGTGGTGATTTCCTTTTTGGCGATTCGTCTTCCAGGAAATTTTCTCGCTTGTGGATCGGTCTCTGGAGTTTCTTGTGTGCAGCATCCACGTCATTTACAGTTCTCACCTTCCTCATTGATATGCCTCGATTTCAGTACCCCGAGAGACCGATAATATTCTTGTCAGCTTGTTACCTGATGGTGGCTCTGACATACGTTGCAGGTTTTATTTTAAATGACGGTGTAAGTCAAAAATTCTATTGTTTAGTTTGTGCACTAAGACAGTAAAATTTTTGTGGTAGATGCTTCAGTGGCTATAGGAATATATCTATTCAAATCATTATAACATCATTCCCATACTAATGATCTATTTGAATCATTAAGGTGTGGCATTACTCCATTAGTTAGTCCGTCACAACCTAGAACCTGGTCGAATACTAGTTACCTATAAATGTCCTCTATTCCTAATGTCCTTGGATATAGTGGATCCAACTGGGGTGTTGAAAAACCCTGATCTCAAACCACTGATGCATATGGACTGCAGGATCCTGAAGGAACAAATAGCGTATGAACCAATCCCAGTCCTACTATATTACGTCGAAAAGCGTCTGAATCACGTCGCCTGACTTAATATGGTTGAAAAATATTTTCGGGGTGGTTTCGAAATAAAATGAGTGCGATTTTCCACACGATCTTGAGACTACCCAATGAAGAACAGCTAATCAGAATCGAGCTTTCGTACAAGAGCTCTAAAATGTGGGAAAGCGATAAATACAGTGAATTAGGGATTTTAACACCATTGATGAACTTAGTAGCGCTAGATATCGATGAAACTCACAATAATGTAATCCAGCTAGGTCCTATCTCTTAACTTTACATCCTACGAATTCAACTTTTAATCTCAACATACTAACATTAAAAGTTCATTTCACTGGAAAACTATTATTCAACCCTTTCGAAGTGCGAAACTGAGTTCAGGTTATGAGTTTCAGCAACAAGCTATCTACAGTCAGTCAGCAATAACGTAGAACTTCGTATGTACGTACATCAGTTCAAGTTACCATGTCACTTTAGCGCAGAGATACAATTGTCGGTCCAAATCCCATGGTGGTAGAGGTAGTAAAAGTATAAGCAGTAATCGGGAAGATTAGGTTTTGAAGATGCTATTCAAGGAGTATAATCCAGTGAAACAAATTTGGAAAGAGAAAAAACGGACACGAATAATTCAGAAGATTAGAATTTGAAAGAACACAAAGGGTGGATGCACCTGCGCCTTCGCAAACGATTTTAAGCCATGTCTTTCAAAGTTTCTAACCGTTGGTTGTTATCATCTCGCGGGCCCCATTCAGGTAGTCTACACCTACCAACATGGCTCAGTCCTCTTGTCAGTGACTTCATGCAATTGTGCCACGTTTTGGTCTGGCCGCCCCTAGCCTTCTTCCAACCTACTTCCTATATCACTGAACATCGCACGTCGGTGGTTGGGCATAAGTAACACGGGTCCCAGCCATCTCAACTGATGAAGCTTCACAACTTCAATTAATTTGTCATCCTTACCTGGTTCCCGTCTCCTAACAACTTCATTACTTACCCGGTAGTCCCAGGATATGCGAACAATGCTTCGAAGATACCTATGATCGAATACTAGCAACCTACAAATATCCTATACTTTTACCCAATCGAAGCTGCTACCTTGACGCGGTGGTCGGGCTTGCCTATCGTGATGACCCAACCGAGCTATATTGGCTGGAACATATGTTCCTGTAGGTTCTACCATGCCAGGCAGGTCGATTGGTGAACGGTAAGACTAAAAGCAGCAACTCAAGGTCTGAGGGCGAAGTCGTACTGCTGACTGTAGAGGGGTGTGACAGCAGTAAGGTGTTTCCTTCGGACAACCAGCATGACAGCGATGCTGCCTTCCCACAAGGAGGGGTGGGGTTAGAAAAGGTCGACCCTAAAAATGTCACACCTCACCTTACCTCACGGATTTCCGTCTCCGGCGGTAAGGCCCTTTGAAGAACGGAGCTAACACGTCAAAAACCTTCCACAAAAAGGCCGTGCGCGACCGGCCTCAAGCAGTTGTCCCTTGGGCTCTGCGGTCACGCTCCCAGGTCGTCAAGACCAACACTAATCCAATTTCCTTTTCAGGTTCCTCAAGAAATACCCTTCCACGGTGTGGGCAGCCGGGAAGTGACATCAGCCCTCATACCCGTAACAGCACAAGAGACCAAGGTGGTCACATTCAAATCCTTCCTACACCTCCTAATACCTCTCTTATCTCCATGACTAACCCTCCTCACGTCTCTTTATCACCTCGCACCGCTAGGGCAAACGATTCGAGTACGTGGAACGCCATTCCTGGTCTCCTGAAACCACGCTCTAAACTACACGTAGGAGCTTTTAACGTACGAACACTTTGCCAAATAGGACAGCAGGCTTCCTTAGCTAAAACTTTAGAATCTCGCGCCATCGATGTGTGCTGCGTCTCCGAAACGCGCATACAGGATCCGAGTAGCGTCATTCATTTGACCTCACCATGCCAAAATAAAGAACCGACTCGATTTACGCTTCGTGTATCTGGAAGCCCTGATTCTGCTTCCCGTGGCCTCGCCGGCGTAGGTATAGCATTGAGTCCTAGGGCAGAACTAGCTCTCTTAGAGTGGATCCCAGTAGACAGTCGTTTGTGCGCTGTCCGACTGAACGGAACAGTAAGAATCCGGAAAGATAGGGACACTCGTCGTTGCCTCTTCGTCGTCTCTGCCTATTCTCCCACTGACTGCAGCTCAGATGATGTAAAAGATGAGTTTTACAGAAAGCTTTCGGACCTTCTCCGAAAAGCTAGGCGCTCGGATGTAGTAATAGTGGCCGGTGACTTTAATGCTCAAGTAGGTAAACTAAGCGATAGGGAAAGACACCTAGGTGGATCTTATGGTGTCGTGGCTCAAAGAACAGATAATGGCGACCGTCTGTTGCAGCTATGCTCAGATAACCGCCTGTTCCTTGCAAATACTAACTTTAAGCATAAGGAAAAACATCTTTTAACATGGCGACCCCCTAATTCGTCCCAACGTTGGACCCAAATAGATCACATCGCTATCAGCCACCGATGGAGGGGCTCGATAGAAGACTGTCGCTCATTCTGGAGCACATGCCTAGATTCAGATCATGCTCTAGTGCGAGCGCGTATTTGCTTGCGTCTTACTGGACGTAGGAAAGACGCTGCAAGGAAACCTCTTAGGGGCCTACTTAATGATAGTCAAGCTAAGAGTATATTTCAGGAACAACTAGGAAAACAGTTAGGCAGCCATGTATGTGATGCCCACCCCGATGCAGCATGGAATGATATCCGAAAAGCTGTGGAAACAGCAGTGATATCTGCTAGTAAGGTAAACCAGAAGGTTAGGGAGCAACACTGGATCTCAGCAGCATCTATCGCACTGATAGATGCTCGGAAACTCATTCCACCTGGCTCTGAACATAATGAAGAGCGGAGTCAGCTTAAGCGCAAGCTGACAAGAAGTCTACGCAATGATCGCGAACAGTGGTGGGTAGCGAAAGCAAGAGAGATGGAAAAGGCAGCGGCAATAGGTAATAGCAGACAATTGTTCAGACTCGTTAAGGAAACCGGAATTAGGAACCCGACCGTTAGCGAAACAATCTCAGAGAAAGATGGACATATTATTCATTCTCAATCCAGGAGATTGGATCGATGGGCAGAACACTTTAGGGATCAGTTCAACTGGCCTTCAGCCACACTTCGGTTTCCCACGATCTCTAGTCAACCTGAATGGCAAGTTAATGTAGGTCCTCCGTCCCTTTACGAAGTTGAAAAAGCCATAGGAAATCTGAAACGAGGGAGAGCAGCAGGCCCTGACAGGTTTACTCCTGAGATTTTTAAGGATGGTGGTCCAGTATTAGCAATGAGATTAACTGAGGTCTTAGGTAGAATTTGGGAACTGGACGTAATCCCATCTGACTGGTCTCAATCACTGATTGTGCCAGTCTATAAGAAAGGACAAAAGTCCTCTTGTGACAATCACAGAGGAATCAGTTTGACTAATATAGCACCTAAAATATTAGCTTCGATAATACTTCGACGAGTAACTTAAGACCGTGAAGAACAGACTAGGGAAGATCAAGCTGGTTTACGAACTGCACGTGGCTGTATAGATCAGATACTCACACTACGTCAGGTCCTAGAACATAGACACACATTTAGACGTCCCACAATGGTAGTATTTCTCGACCTTAAGGCGGCATTTGACTCTGTTGATCGTGAAGTTCTATGGCAGTGTTTGTCACTGAAAGGAGTACCAAAGAAGTACATTAACCTTATAAAGGCTCTCTACTCGAACACAACTGGCCGAGTGAGAGCTTATGGCGAACTGTCATCAGAATTGATTACCTCAAGTGGTGTTCGTCAGGGCTGTCCACTCTCCCCATTCTTGTTCAACTTTGTGGTCGACGTACTTTTAGAGATAACACTCTCCTCATCTAAATGTCCAGGGGTTGAACTTCTACCGGGAGGTTCACTTGTTGACTTAGAATATGCTGATGACATAGTTTTATTTGGTGAAGACGCTGACAAAATGCAGAGTCTTCTGACCACTCTAAGCAACAATGCAAGCATGTTCGGGATGCCATTCTCTCCCTCGAAATGCAAAATGTTGCTTCAGGATTGGGTTACATCGACACCCGAACTAGTGATAGGGAGTGAAGTAGTTGAGTGTGTCGACCGCTTCACTTATCTTGGAAGTCTCATCAACCCTTGTGGTTTAGTGTGTGACGAAATCTCAGCAGGGATACAGAAGGCTCGACTAGCTTTTGCCAACTTGCGTTATTTATGGCGTAGGCGAGATATCCGTCTATCAACCAAAGGACGGGTTTACTGCGCAGCAGTTCGTTCCGTCCTACTTTATGGCAGTGAAACATGGCCGGTAAGAGTAGAGGATATTCGTAGGTTACTAGTATTTGATCATAGGTGTCTTCGAAATATTGCTCGTATATCGTGGGACCATCGAGTAAGTAATGCAGTTGTTAGGAAACGGGTACTAGGTAAGGATGGCAAATCAATTGATGAAGTAGTGAAACTTCATCAGTTGAGATGGTTGGGACACGTGTTACGTATGCCCAACGGCCGACTGCCTCGACGTGCTATGCTCAGTGGTATAGGAGTAGGTTGGAAGAAAGCTAGGGGCGGCCAAACCAAAACATGGCACAAGTCCATGAAGTCACTGACAAGTGGACTGAGTCATGTTGGTAGGTGTAGACTACCTGGTTGGGGACCGCGAGATGATAGCAACCGATGGTTAGAGACCCTGAATGACATGGCTCAAAATCGTTTGCAATGGCGCAGGTGCATCCACTCTCTGTGTTCTCCCAAATTCTAATCTTCTGAATCCTTCATGCCCCTTTTTTCCTCTTTCCAAATTTATTTCACTGGATTATACTCTTTAAATAACATCTCCAAACCCTAATCTTCCCGATTACTGCTTATACTCTTGCTACCTCTACCACTACGGGATTTGAATAGACAACTGCATCTCTGTGCTAATGTGGTGTGGCAACTCGAACTGATGTACATATGTACGAAGTTCTACGTTGTTACTGACTGACTGACTGACCTGTACTTTTACGGGTCATGTTTCACAGCCATTAAGTAGGACGGAACGAACTGCTGCGCAGTAAATCCGTCCTTTGGTTGATAGATGGATATCTCGCCTACGTCATAAATGACGCAAGTTGACAGTAGCTAGTCGAGCCTTTTGTATCCGTGCTGAGATTTCATCACACCAGACCACAAGGGCTAATGAGACTCCTAAGATAAGTGAAGCGGTCGACACGCTCAAGTACTTCACTCCTTATCATTAGTTCAGATGCCAATGCAGCTCAATCCTGAAGCAACATCTTGCGTTTCGAGAGGGGGAATCGCATGCCGAATATTCTTTCATTATTGCTTACGGTGGCCAGAAGATTCTGGATTTTATCGACGTCTTCACCAAATAGAACTATGTCATTGGCACATTCTAAGTCAACAAGTAAATCAGGCGGTAAAAGTTCAACGTCTGGAAATTTAGATGAGGTGTTATTTCTAAAAACACGTCAACGATAATGTTAAACAAGAATGGAGAGAGTGGACAGCCCTGACGAACGCCACTTGAGGTAGTCAATTATGATGACAGTTCGCCATAAGCTCTCACTCGGCCAGTTGTGTTCGAGTAGAGAGCCTTTATAAGGTTAATGTACTTCTTTGGTACTCCTTTCAGTGACAAACACTGCCATAGAACTTCACGATCAACAGAGTCAAATGCCGCCTTAAGGTCGAGAAATACTACCATTGTGGGACGTCTAAATGTGTGTCTATGTTCTAGGACCTGACGTAGTGTGAGTATCTGATCGTGCTTCGGTCTGGACACCCGGGAAGTATCACAGACCTCACACAAATCGAATGATTTATGTGGCGCATATCTATTTGGGGCCTCTTTGCATCAATGTTTATATGTTTAAATAAAGTAAAATAAATAATCTGATCTATACAGCCACGTGCAGTTCGTAAACCAGCTTGATCTTCCCTAGTCTGTTCTTCACGGTCTTAAGTTACTCGTCGAAGTATTATCGAAGCTAATATTTTAGGTGCTATATTAGTCAAACTGATTCCTCTGTGATTGTCACAAGAGGACTTTTGTCCTTTCTTATAGACTGGCACAATCAGTGATTGAGACTAGTCAGATGAGATGACGTCCAGTTTCTAGATTCTATCTCGCTGCTAATGCTGGACTGCCATCCTTAGAAATCTCAGGAGTAAACCTGTCAGGGCCTGCTGCTCTCCCTCGCCTCAGATTTCCTATAGTTTTTTCAACTTCGTAAAGACTTGGAGAACTTACATCAACCTGCCATTCAGGATGACTGTAGATCGTGGGAAACCGAAGTGTGACTGAAGGCCAGTTGAACTGATCTCTAAAGTGTTCTGCCCATCGATCCAATCTCCTGGATTGAGAATGAATAATATGTCCATCTTTTTCTGAGATAGTTTCACTAACAGTTGTGTTCCCAATACTGGCTTTCTTGACAAATCGGAGCAGTTGTCTGCTGTTGCCTATCGCCGCTGCCTTTTCCATCTCTCTTGCTTTCGCTACCCACCACTGTTCGCGACCATTGCGTAGGCGCTTAAGCTGACTCCGCCCTTCGTTATGTTCAGAGCCAGATGGAATTAGTTCTCGAGCATCTATCAGTACGGTAAATGCTGCTGAGACTCAGTGTTTCCCCCTAACCTTATGGTTTATTGTACTAGCAGATATCACTGCTGTTTACACAGCCTTTCGGATGTCATTCCACGCTGCCTCGGGATGGGCATCACTTACATAGCTGCCTAACTGTTTTTCTAGTTCCTGAAACGTATTCTTAGCTTGACTGTCATTAAGTATGACCCCAAGATGTTTCCTTGCAGCGTCTTTCCTACGTCCTGTAAGACGCAGACGGGAATGCGCTCGTACTAGAGTATGATCTGAATCTAAGCATGTGCTCCATAATGATTGACAGTCTTCTATCGAGCCCCTCCATCGGTGGTTGATAGCGATGTGATCTATTTGAGTCCAACGTTGGGACGAATTAGGGGGTCGCCATGTTAAAAGATGTTTTTCCTTATGTTTAAAGTTAGTATTTGCAAGGAACAGGCGGTTATCTGAGCATAGCTGCAACAGACGGTCGCCATTATCTGTTCTTTGAGCCACGACACCATAAGATCCATCCAGGTGTCTTTCCTTTTCGCTTAGTTTACCTACTTGAGCATTAGGGTCACCAGCCACTATTACTACATCAGAGCGCCTAGCTTTTCGGAGAAGGTCCGAAAGCTTACTGTAAAACTCATCTTTTACATCATCTGAGCTGCAGTCAGTGGGAGAATAGGCAGAGACGACGAAGAGGCAACAACGAGTTTCCCTGTCATTCCGAGTCCTTACTGTTCCGCTTAGTCGGACAGCGCACAGACGAATGTCTACTGGGATCCAGTCTAAGAGAGTTAGTTCTGCCCTAGGACTCAGTGCTATACCTACGCCGGCGAGGCCACGAGAAGCCGAATCAGGGCTTCCAGATACACGAAGCGTAAATCGAGTCGGTTCTTTATTTTGACATGATGAGGTCAAATGAATGACGCTACTCGGATCCTGTATGCGCGTTTCGGAGACGCAGCAAATATCGATGGCGCGAGATTCTAAAGTCCTAGCTAAGGAAGCCTGCTGTCCTATTTGGCACAGTGTTCGGACGTTAAAAGCTCCTACGTGTAGTTTAGGGCGTGGTTTCAGGAGATCAGGAATAACGTTCCGCGTACTTGAATCGTTTGCCCTAGCGGTGCGAGGTGATAAAGAGACGTGAGGAGGGTTAGTCATGGAGATAAGAGAGGTATTAGGAGGTGTAGGAAGGATTTGAATGTGACCACCTTGGTCTCTTGTGCTGTTACGGGTATGAGGGCTGATGTCAATTCCCGGCTGCCCACACCGTGGAAGGGTATTTCTTGAGGAACCTGAAAAGGAAATTGGATTAATGTTGGCCTTAACGACCTGGGTGCGTGACTGCAAAGCCCAAGAGAGAACTGCTTGAGGCCGGTTGTGCACGGCCCTTTCGTGGGAGTTTTTTAATGTGTCAGCTCCGTTCTTCAAAGGGCCTTACCGCCGGAGACGGAAATCCGTGAGGTAAGGTGAGGTGTGACATTTTTAGGGTCGACCTTTTCTAACCCCACCCCTCCTTGTGGGAAGGCAGCATCGCTGTCATGCTGGTTGTCCGAAGGAAACACCTTACTGCTGTCACACCCCTCTACAGTCAGCAGTACGACTTCGCCCTCAGACCTTGGGTTGCTGCTTTTAGTCTTACCGTTCACCAATCGACCTGCCTACAGGAACATATGTTTCAGCCAATATAGCTCTGTTGGATCATCACGATAGGCAAGCCTGATCACGTCATGGTAACAGCTACGGTCGCGCCACAATTTTACTACAACTCAATATTGTCGTTAAACGTCTATTATCATTATAACAACTAACACCAGAAGTATAACAAGGAAAGTAATGTAACAGCCACTTTGTATACTTTTATATACTAGAAGCTATGAATCATATTTGTTATTTTTGTTTGAGGGCTAGTGAAACTCGGAGCTGTCTAGACAGACGTATATACAGTAAAATTGTAGTTAATCGGTTAGACCTCTCGACGTCTGGCTGCTAGGTGACAAGTTTGGATCCCGGCTTCTAACTTTGGGTAACCGATTCGCAACACCACTAGCTTCCAAATGAAGTGTGGCTAAAAACCGAATGCAGAAACATGTACTCGCCAAGCAAATTACATAGGTTATTAATAGGGGAGAGATTACAAACCAAAAACTCAATGGGTGACAATTAACTATTTATGCCACTGTACTACATATACGCAATGACAACAGAAAATTACCATTGATATATATATATATATATATATATATATATATATATATATATATATATATATATATATATATATATATATATATATATATATATATATATATATAGTAGGAATTCTGTATCTTACTGAGGTAATGTTATATTGTCAGATTATGTTTTTGTTAGAAGAGATACATTTCAAATTTTTTGATGGATGGTTCTCACTGTTTAACATGCAAATAATTCAGGATTGTTGAAATGTGACCTTCAGTAATCATCCAAGTGGATTAAAACTATTTGTATAACAAACTCTCTGTTATCAACTTTTAAAAAACTCGTCGTGAGTATAATCTACCACTGTGTAAAGATTTTGTGCTTAAACTATGTCTGTAATTATTTTACTCTGCTAGGTCGCTTGCTCTGGGCCTTTTCCAGCACAGCAATCTCTCAGTGGTCAAATTGAAATGCCGCGACTCGTTACTCAGGGAACAAAGTTTGAAGGATGCATCATTTTATTCATGTTGCTTTACTTCTTTTCTATGGCTAGTTCTATTTGGTGGGTGGTTTTAACAATCACTTGGTATTTAGCTGCTAAATGTCATTGGGCACATGAAGCTATATCACGTAATGCACAGTATTTACACTTTGCTGCATGGGCTATTCCAGCTGCTAAAACAATTGGAATATTAGCTTTGGGAAAGGTTGACGGCGATCCACTGTCTGGTGTATGCTTTACCGGATTAACAGATCCAGTTATACTGAGAGCATTTTTAATTGCCCCATTATGTTTGTATCTTCTGATTGGAACTTGTTTCCTGTTTGCTGGTTTTGTATCATTATTTAGAATTCGTACAATCATTAAAACTGGAGGTTCAAAAACTGATGACTTAGAGAAATTAATTATGCGAATTGGTGTATTTAGTTTACTGTATATTGTACCAGCACTAGTAGTAATCGCCTGTTATTTACATGAATCTAGAATGTCTGAAAAATGGATGCTTACATGGTATACAACTGAAGTATGTCGTAAAGTGGATCCTAATCAACTAGCCGATTCTATATGTCCTGGACATTTCAAACGACTGGTTGAAGCCGGTAGTTCATCCCGATCAGACAATTCCGATATTTCTGTTAGTCAAAATATATTTGCCAAAATATCTGCATTAGAAAAACCCGAATTTGAATTATTTATGATTAAATATCTTATGACATTGATTGTTGGTATAACAAGTGGTGTTTGGATATGGAGTGGAAAAACACTTGTATCATGGAAACGTTTCTTCGCACGAGTTTTCCGTCGTCGTAGTTGTTGTGATAACAAAAATATCGATCTAACTGTTTCAAGTACGCGTTCCGGTCTTGTCGTAGCTAGACGAGGTGTTCAGTCGAATGCTCTACCAACTGGTGTAACATCAAATCCTGGTTCTGTTCCCTTATTAACACGTACAATGCAATCATCTCACCCAGTACAACCGTATATTTTCAGTCAGGATACAACAACAACTACTAGTGGATGGGCATCAAGAGGTGCACCATCTGGAGTAACTGCACCACCAGATATTTCGTCAACTCCCGTGAGTTATGCTGCCCAACCTAACTGGTTAGCTGCTAGTCCAAATTCAGTTCAGATTAATGCTGGCCTACAAACTGGTATGATAAATACAAATGCACAAAGTGTCGTGCCCACTAATTCTGGTCTAGGCTTACTGTAGTTATGATGTGTAGTTAATATTTATGATCAGTGTACCTCTTTTCCAAGAGAAAATATATCTTCCATCACAAGTCCTACCAATATTTACAATTGTTATTATTATCTTGCCTGTAAAATTACTTGGTATCAAATGACTCACTAATTTACCCTTATGAATATTACACTCGCAAAGAATTGTAATCATTTGTTCCATTTAATTCTTCCATCTGTACCTCGCTTTACAACATGTGGAGTTAGTCATCTATCATGATGTCTAGTTTCTTTATAACAAGTAGTAGCCTTGTATGGCTTATTATCTTTCTCTGTGCTTTTCTATATGGTAACTAGTATGATAAAGCAAACTAATCATCTGATTTCATTTGTTTTCTGTGTATTGTGATTAATGTAAATTGTAGGATATGCATTTACATGTTTTGTTTTTCTTTATACCTGTTTTCTTTACTTTCAGTATATTTATTTATTTATTTATTTATTTATTACAAGAACGCGTTTGCATCTGCCCTCTTCATTTTATGTACAAATATACACTTTTGTGAAAGACGGTAAAATAAAATACCATTACAGTATGAAGCTACGGTAGATATCTGGTTTTCCCACCCTTATTTTGTATTTGCAAAATTGCATACATACTAGAATTTCTTTAAATTGTTTTATAATTACTTTTAATCCAACCTATATGTGTAGGTTGATATATGTGTTATTTGAAAGTTTTTGTTTAATTAACTTAAGGCAATTATCGAGTGGAATTTCCAGAAATTTGAATAATGGAGTCAACCACAGCTCACTTTTTAATGATCTCTACTTTTGCTTGATAATATTATATTTTGTTGTAGAATGTAGTTTTTATAAATGCTATCTTCCGGTTTTTCAATAATCCTTTGTTTACTTGACTCTTATTTTCTTCATCTTCACTTGTTTTATTTTCTTGTTTGCGTCTGATCACCATTTCTTGTTTATTGTTTGATGCTTCCACCAAACAAAAAGTGTTTACACTTCCCCCCATTGTCCTTTTCGCAAATGCTTTCAACACAACCCGACTAGCCGTTAAATAAACAATTTTTAACGCTTTTTTTTAAATGCTTAGTTTTTTTTGTCAATTTTGTTGTAGAAATATTGTTCTTAGTTGCGTATTTTCTAAGGTAGATTAACCTCGTGTCGCTTATAACCTAAGACGAATATGTTAACAGACTGAGCATTCAATTAAATATTTCCGGCATCCGATTACATTTAATATGGTGGGTTAATATGACATCATGTAAGTTTTCTATTTAAATTCTCACTGTTTACTGTTATAATTGACTGATAAATTTTGACTACTTTTTTGTATGGCCAATTGATCTTGTGGAGTATATATACCCATTCTAATTGAGTTTCTTACTATCAAGCTGTTCAACTTGTTTATACATTCAAGACTGAAAATTTTCAAGTAAAACTAAACGTTTCCTTCAGAAACATTAATTACCGTTACACAGCGTGTTCAGTCACTTATCAAATAAAACGGATAAATATTGCCCAGCAATTTAACGTTAGGAAAATTAGTAAGTTTCCTAGCCACTCTCATCTGCTACTGAAATGTAACAACCATTCTATTGTTGTTATGACTAAATGTCAAGATAAACTATTATGGTATTTGAAGAACACATGATACAGTGACGTATTCACTCTTAAGTCGTTTACTGATTTCATTGTTCATTATGTGAAATCTGTTCCTGAAATTTTCACCTAGGAAAAAACAGCTAAACACATAATCTATTAATAAATCATTTCGTCATGAATTGGTAGCTTTGCAGAGTGACCATACGAATCCTGTTAGTGCCGTTTTCGTGGCCAAAATAGTCGCGGTTTCGGTTGGTTGACAAGCGGTGCCCACTATTTAATCTTCAGCGAAACATTTTCAAATTATCCGGGATTTCCCTATCTTGTCCTGATATCAACTAGCAAGATCATTTAGTAATGTACTGAGGATTCATGTCAATGCTATCTATCAGCTGAAGTTATAGCGAACAGTCGGTCACGGTTCACGTCACATTCATTTCAATCACGTAATCTGACAAACGCCTGCCAGGTTTGCATCCAAATACCCAAATGAAAAGTCCCGTCGATACGTATGAGATAGCATCATCGAAATCAAGAGAAGCGGGAAAGTTTTACATGGTCCTAACGATGTATTACCTAATCAATACTTACTGACAAAGGTCCTTACTAGTTAATATTTAAGGTTCATCTCTAGCAACACGCTTGCCAAGAATTTTGGTCAAATGACTTTACCGATACATCCATTTGAAATTGGCTTTCCCATGGTCGTTCCGAATAACAGTTACAACGATCGGTTGGGAGCGTGTTCAAATAAAGTATGGCTAAATGATCCACAATGTAACCGTAAGTAAGGAAAAGGTGACAATAATGTAATCAATTACGGAAACGAGTAGTCGCTGAACGCCTCATCTCGCTGTCACCTAGAAACTTCATCGACTGGATTCGAAGAAATTGAGGCATATCGACAGGATTGAAGTACTGCCTCTGGATAAGAATAGATGGAAAAAAAGATTGTTTTCTATTCATTACTTATACATCTATTTGTTCATGCATACACTTATTAGTTATGTAAAAGATTAATCTCCGGAAAAATATTCTTTTGTGCGTTTTTGCTTGTACAAATATCTTAATGTCACTTTTATAAATCATGCTACTGGTGTTTTTATGTGATTTGAATGCCTTTTTCCTTTGATAGATAATGAGTCAGTAAATGGGTATCTGTAATTTCTTGTAAAGCGTAGTTAAAATAATTACCCTTGTTACACACACTACAAGTTGTGATCCCAATTGAATACTAGTCTTCAGTACTAATTAGGTGGTCTTGTTAGCCATTAAAAATCAATCAGAACAACCATTACAGGTTTTTTGATGTTTTAATAAATGGTCTACAGAAAACGTTTTGGAACTAGGTGAAGCTACTCGCTCCTGAACTTCAGACATTTATTTCTAAGCCTTTCAGTCAAATACATTTACATTTCTGAATGTTTGGTGTAGACAATACTTATTTCCTATGTTTTAAGTGATTATCTAAAATAACATGAAGCATGATACATTGGCGAATCAATTGAAATCTATGGATTTTGGAACAGTGCAGTAGTTCGTTTAAAAATTGCAACCTAACTAATTTAAAGCGTCATATTTCTAGACTTAACAGGTTAAACTTTGACCATGCATTTTAGATCATTACTGGAAGTCTCTGATGTGTGCTTTTTGTACATCAGAACGACGTAGATTTCACTTACCTCCTAAAACGAACCATAAGTGTATTTGTTAGTTCCTTGTTAAGGATGATAATTATTTTTCTGCTCAGTTTGTCATGTGCATAAAGTTGATCCAATTCTAGCTTTATATCATGGAAATTGACGAACAGTACACAGACATCATTGCGACTGAGTTTTTTTTGAAAGAAAAGCTGTATTGTAGTGAAAGTAAATGTGATTGGTCATTGAGTATTGACAAACAACCATCCAACTTACTGACTATTAAATATGTGATTTTCTTTCCGCTTACTAATTTCTGCGAACTCTCTGAGTGACTGCTTGTAATTATGTGGGATGAAGTTCTATCTAGCGTTTCACTGGTTCTCTATTCTTGGTCGTGAATCATGTATTTAATACAGCGTGCCTTAGTCTCTGTACTGTGTACCGTCCGAATATACAATCTGGTGGTATTATAAAGTCGATCATCCAGACCAGTTTTATTATGATATTGTATAAGCATAGTAGATGTTGTGACTTTATGTCCGGCTAGCTATCACGTGATTTATCCACCAATCAAAATACGACTTATATAATCTTAGCACTGTGCCAAATCAATGACGTCCAACCGGTATGAGCAACCTAGCGTCCTTATTCGTCGTATGTTCGCCTAGCTCGTCCATTTGAGTCCAGAACATCAATACCATTTACCACTATGCGAATCATATATTTCAAACATACTGGGTTTATATACCAACCAAACAGACCGCAACGCACCATAAAATAGGAAATAACATTTGTACACAATAAAGCCTAAAAGTGGCTGTGAGCGTGTCAGGCAGTAGTCAATAAACTGAACATAGCTTAAGAACAGTAAATCATACAATAATAATGTATAGGTCAAAATAAAGCGTATAACAAAGGGAATATAGATATAAATGATCTAGTCACTGAATATTTATACCATAAGAATATATAAATAATATTAGTCCATTAATTGGTCCCAGATGTTACTCGTAATGTGATCTTCACTAGGATATAACAGTATACAGCAGAGAGTGAGAGAGAGAAAAGTATTTCAAATCATCTGTTATTTCAGGAACCTTCAACAAAAGATTGTAAATGTTTATGGCACACTTCCTGCTCTCGTGAAAAATGGTGTAACTTGTTTGGAGTGTCATCTTGGCTTATCATATCAAGGAATTCGTTTGACTATGTTAATCACTTCACTTACAAACAGTCAGATTAACCCTTGTGAGTTGATGGCTGGCAACCTTTCAGCACAAATGCGAAATAGTCTTTATTTTGCATCACTTGGTGCTCCCACTAAGTGGGTACTAAAAAGCGAGAATGTTTGGTGGTGAACTATTTCTCCTGTGGTTCTCCATTTCTATCGGTATTAGTCTATATTTACAGATATCATAGTTACTTTTACATGATGAAAATACCAAGCACACTATGTTAAACCCAGGCGTAATTTAGACTATAGTATTTCGCAACCCTATTTTTTATTAAGGTGATTTATACATATATCCAAATCTGGACTTCTCGACCCAAACTGTTGATCACGTGTGAATCTCTAGTATGGCAGGATAAAAAGAAAAACAAGTTAAACGGGACAGTTATCACATACATTTATGTTCTTAGAACTAACAGTAAACCCATCGTGTTAGCACTAATCATACTGTCGTTAGCCAAATGAATGTTGATGAAGTAGGATCGTGCTTAACAAATCTGAATTTAAACTACTGAGGATCTGACGTATTTTGTTTTAGGGATTTGAAATTATTTCCTTTATTTTTCGCATTTTATAATTCTGTCAGTTACTTTGTAATTTGGAAGTTGCTAAAAATATTTCGTTAAACTTTTTAGGTTCATTTAATATTTTGCATTACTGGCAATTATCCATACCAAACTGATGAAATGCTCAGATATTTGGTTGCTTGACAAGTCATACTACTACACACCGGTTGCACTTTATTCGTTAACATTGTTCACACAACTGACTTTTTAACTTAATTTTCCATTTGATTTCACGTCAAAAGTCATACAAAAGCAAGTAAGCAGCATAAGATTTCTTAGCATTTTCATGTAATACACTTTCATAAAAAAATGTTCGTCCACATACGTATCTATCAAATTCACAAATGCAACCATGCACCTATTCCTTAGGGAATTACTTACATTTACTGACTTCAATTCATGAACTATTTAATGGAAACACTTACAAACTATATATCAGATAATGTTAACAAGATTATTTTTAGCTTTTGTTTGCCGTCAGTTATCAGCAACTTAGAACCTGACATATATATGCACAAGTCCAAGATACCGCACTATTTTAGCAAAGATAGATGATATCACCAAGTCAAATACCACAGTAGTCGAAGTAGTAGGAAAGATTCGGGATAAACAATCAGATTTGAGAAAGAGTGGGTTCGTGGAATAAAAAGTATGATATGATTTTAAAAAGAAGCGATTGAGGGTTAACTAGTGGATTACAAATATGGAACAATAAGACATGTTGATATATGGGTGAGAATGATAATTATTAATTGTTTGCTTAGTCAGACTTGCAGATAGTCGAACAGGCGTTAGTTGAGTTATATATTCTCCTATCCCTATTATTATCGATTGTTGTTGGATTGTGTCGACTTGTCGGTTTTTGGTGTGGAAATATATTTACGTTCTAGTCAGGCTAATCACGTGTTCTCGATCTGAGTTGTGTTGACGTCCTGTCGAATAAACACTGGGAGGGAATCTAGTGTAGATATTTGTCTAAGGTAATATTAACGTCCCATTCGTGTAGACTTAGAAGACAATGAAAGCTTCTACATAAGGGAATATAAAAAACCCATAAAAATACAGACAACTTCCTGCAGGTATTTATGGAAGTTTAACTCTAATACTCTTCGATATGACACCAACATAGTTCAGTTCAACGGTAAATAACTTCATAGATCGACGCAATTCCTTGGTTATTCTTCCATGTCAGTACATGACATGGTGTCGTGGTATAAAAGAAAACTGCAAAGGACTGACTTCTGTCGGTCCTTCACGGCTCCCTGGTTGGGGTCCGAGAGATGGTGCAACACAGTGGCTAGAGGCGTTATCAGATATGGCCCAGAATAGAAGCCCGTGGCGATCCTGCTGTAACCTTCTTTTACTTTCTTCATAAAAAGTGGTTGTGTCTTCCTTACCTGAAAGATTTCTTCCGATTGTACCTTTCCGTTCCCTCATTACTACCACACTACCTTACACCAATCTCTTCGTTATTGTTCTTTTTTTTTCTATTTCTCTTCGAATTCTCATTGTTTTGTGTGGTGCATATATATTGGCGCTCTCTTGTACCAATATTTATGTGTTCAAATAAATAAATAAATTCTTACATCAGCAAACATTTCAAGTCAAGATAGGCGGTTGTTGAGCATACATCCTAACTTTAATTGACGAATTACAATCTTACCAACCGATTTGTTATTTTACTCTAGTACTCCCCGTCTAATCTGAGCACTGGTCACTGGAAGGTCCCAGTATACCTAAGCAACACTGTGAGGATATCTTTGATCAAATACTAGTAATCTACAGATATTCTCTGTCCTTAAAGTTCACGTTACAGATCCATAAAGTTAAACGGAACAATCGGTTGCACAGTGTAGTTGTCTTTATTTAGTTGACAGCGGCTTCAACGTTATACACAATGGGATCATAATCCTGCATCAAATGTAGTTGCTGGTTCTTGCTTTACCTATATTAAGCCACCGTCTCTCTTGACGTACGATGCCTACTGTAATATTCTTCGATTCGGACATGTCCGAAGACAAAAAACACTATGTGAAATCTGCGACTACTACTGTGAGCTATGTACATAAATATATATGGACATTTTTATGGAGTTATCACAATGGTGCAAAAAAGAGTTTGATTCATGTCGATAGCTTAGAAGTATTCTATCTTGGCCCATTCATTTGATCTCAAGTTGATCGTATAATAAGACTAAAGAAATATGTATCTCGCCTACCCTCGTATATATATATATATATATATATATATATATATATATATATATATATATATATATATATATATATATATATATATATATATATATATATATATATATATATATATGGTTAATTTGCCTTTTGAATAACGGAATAAGTCAAATGTGAATACGGTTTTCGCAGACATGTATTTCATAAACTTCGCCGCACATAGACAAGAGAAACAGAGCGAATCGGAAAACGCTGGCGTACTAAGTAGATTTGATAACGCGTGACTTATTATTTATACTCAATGAAATAAGCTGAAAGCATGAAAAAGTAAGTAAATGATACACGTTCATATAAATACAGTCTAGGTTGTAAACGGGTAACTGATGAAGTCAAAATTTGTAGATAATCACCAAAGTAATTATTCAAAAAATCATACAGTTGTTACACTGCATAATGGATAAAAGGAAGAACTAACAAAATTTTATAATGAAAGGTCAGTATTGTAGTAGTTATTGTAAGAATCAAGAGATGTTGAGAATACGTAAAAATACAGAAGTGGAAGGAACTAATAGAAAGAAGTTTAAATATTTTTGAAGGAAAGGGTTTCATCAAGGTTCAGCTACAAACTTACTTCTATACCTATGGATAAGGTATCAAGAGCGGTTGTACAAACATATTTTATGTGCAAAGGTTAGGTTTTTGAATGTGGATTCCGATAACAGAAGAACTCGTAAACCATGTAGTAAATTTGATGGAATATGATGGGTAACCTTAAAAGCTTTATTCAAGTCAATTTGATGTCCTGAGTCCGTCAAGTGAGCGAGAATAGAACTCCTAATTACTCTTACCTGTCCTTTGTTCAGCCAAGTCGGATAGTGTTCTGCTATGCGAAGATAGACTTGACGATTTGTACGCTCTGAAAAACATGGATGTGGAGAATTCATGTAGTGTATGTTTGTTAACTGCTTAATCTTCTCAACCTCCTTTTGACAGGCCTTCCTCTTATGACCGGTGTTACGTACTACGTATACCTGTCAATATAAGTAGCATGCACCACGCTCGTCCTCTTCTTTTCATAAGCTGTTCTCGCAGTTCATCTGATCGTCGTACCGCTGTTTGTGACTCGCCATCATGATGCACTTGAAACCATCTCTGTAGTTGACTGGCATTTACGCGCTTGTGTTTGTCTCTTTTCCGGATAGTGTAAACCGCGCTACGCTTCTCCGTGATAATGTACGGTCCTTCACAATTCGGAGTCAGCTTCTCTGACCCTGATCCTCCTGCTACGATGTGGTTCCGTTCTCTACACTTTACCAGGTTCCCCACTGCAAGGGGTTTCCACTTCTTTTTTTGCTGTATTCATCTTGTAAAACCATTCTTTTTATGACTCCATTTCTATATGGTTTCTTTTATAAAGGTAAACTGTTTTTGCATATTGGTTGTTTGCTTATGGTAGCTGTGGTTATTTCACATAGAGTTTGTGCTTGTGTAATTGTGTTGTAGCATGTTGAGTCACGTTGTCAGAAGAAAAACAATAATGTCTATTTGTTGCAACATATTCCTGATGTTATGACCTTGAATCGCTTTTACCCCGTCGATACTTGGTTATAACTTGACCTTGATCTGTCTAGTCTAGATTATGACCTTGACGCGATAGGCTGAGCGACTTAACCTTGAGTCTAGTACGCGTGAGTTCGAGATGGGCTATAGAGAGAACTATTCTAGAACCTGGTTGGTTGGCAAGCACGCAAGTGAGAGAAGACAAGACAGTTGGAACACTGAATTCGGATTAGTGCAAAAATTTACATGAATAAATAAGTGAATATCCTGACCACGACGTACGATAATTTGGAAAAATACAATTATGCCCGAAACTGGGAATTAGGGTAGAAAATAAGATGCAAAATATTATGTTTAAATCACAATATTTTCGGAACAAAAAAAAGGGTATGGCAGTGAATGATACATAGAACGAAAGCTCATGTTGTGTAGAATAAAATAGGGACAAAAATAAATATAAGTGCTTTACAGGGTTTGAATGAAATGAAATAACGTCCCAAGAAAATAGCTTTCGTAGTTGTCTGGGCTTCTTATTTCCCCGTTCACAACACCTGATTTTAATGTTGTGTGATTGAGTAAATTTTAGACGTTTTCGTAAATTGCTCTTGCGGAGATTTTATTCTACCAGTATTATTGAGGATCGTTGAAATGTTATTACATATTTGTTTACTGGGTGCATATAATGATAGCATTAAATTCGTACCCGTATTATCATTAGCATTCGGCTCATGTTATTACCACTGATCATAATAGAGTAGCACAGTTGTAGATCAGTGGTTAAGGCGTCTGATTTCCAGCTATAGGTTCAAACTCAGCTCCACTTTCGGTTCGAACAACCTAGTGGTATCAATGGCCCTAATACCAGTAATGTGTCTAGAAGCCAACTACGCCAATTCATCTTAAATCGAATTCGAATTAAATAAGATAAATATAATAGAGTAACAATTTGTTGGGGCTAATCCTCCAACTAATCTTACATATTTTTTCTGAAAGTCACTCAATAATGTCAGATGCAATATACTTCTGAATAATAATATTAATAAAACCAGTACAATAGTTTTCAAAGTTTGTTCAGAACACTGTTGAGAGTTGTAAAACCAGTGTTAAGTGATTCCCTATGATTGTGCACTTGCTGTGTTATAGGTTCATACTATGGGTGCTCTCGAATCATAAACCAACAGTATTTATGGATTTAAATCTCAAATACTGACTTGTGCACTGGGATATGGTTCATCTGAATGACATGACAAAGTTGTGTCGATATGATTTAAACTGGAATGAGAAGGTAACTTGATCTTTCAGTTTTAAGAATGATATCATCACCTATTATCATAAGATAAACGTTGCTAAACAGCGGTTTTATTTGAGTTACATTTGTATTGTATTCTTATTACACTTATATTTATGCTGATTAATATCGTGATTTTCACATTGAATATATCTATTACTGATATCTTTCTTTTTAGAACTAACTGTCAATTAATGAACATAACCTTATTCGGTCAAATTATCAAGCTGGAAATACGTTACTTAAAGCCTCTGTTTACGATGAATAAAAGGTTATCAAACAAAATTTCTGCCTAATTTAACTAATGCGTGCCGTCTAATTTTTGCATTTTTTATTTATTATTTTAACACATAGATATTGGTACAAGGAGGCACCAAATACATATGCGCCACACAAATCTCATTCAATATGTGTGAGGGCTGTGATACTGCCCGGGTGCCCAAACCGAAGCATTATATATATATATATATATATATATATATATATATATATATATATATATATATATATTTATATTGATAGTTTTATAAATGTATTTCCACACTACTTATTGATCTGTAATTCTCATCTGTATATAGAAAAAGTGGTTATTACTAGTTTCATGATTATTACCCTGAAGAAGTCCAGACAAGTTAGCTGGACGAAACGTCGGAATTAGTTGAATTTCAATCGCTGAGAATATTTCAAATATAATTTTCACATATAATGACATATTGTGTTTATGTTGTTGGCTGATAGATTCCACGTCCGAAACCATATAAACTTTTAAGGGTCCAGCTAACTTACAGAAGTGTTTTTGTTTTTCAGTAGTTGTTAGTTTCTTAAAATTGCTTAATAAGGAAAAAAATGTAAAGTTTCAAGTAACATTTATCACAATGTCGTGTAGGTAATTTTTTCTGTAATTACATGTGACCTAGCACAATATTATGGACTACTTTAGAATAAGAATGAAATATAGTTTTTCAAACGCAGATAATCAAGTCTAGGTCGGTACACGATCGAGCCTTATGGAGACCGCCCGTTACAAAAGTTCCTTCCCAAGTTCATCAACAGTAATCTAAAACCGAACTGTCAAGTTGGAAAAAATCCCACAGTTCCAAAAAAAGTTTTTCATTGATGTCATTTTTATTTAAACAGACGTCGGTACAAGGAGGCACCAAATATATGGTCCATAATAACCGTTTGGTTTGTGTGAGAGCTCAGATACTACCCGGGTGCTCAAACGGAATCAGAGAGTTTTTAGAAGGCCACTTTTTTAACGCTTGACCTAGAGGTCTAATCCACAATGCAATGGTGCAACGAACGGTAGCCGGTGACCAACAATAGTTGTCTCATATTCCCTTTTGCAGCTTTTTCCGCTGTCATTGATAGGACCTTCTCGTGTTTCTGCTTGTCGGCTTTAATGCTCCTCTTCACCCTCTTGTTTGCTTCTGTGTATCTGTCCTGTGCCTTGACTTTATCTGCTGTTCTTAATTGCTATCTCCTTGTTCTTTCTTGAATCTTTCTCAGGATGTAGATAAAGACCCATTCAGTACGATGGTTCTTATTGAGGCACAACAACTCTTGGCGTGTTTAGGCTATTGCTTCTTCAATCCCATTCCAGTTGTTGTCCATAGTAGTTTCCCCTTTCTTGAGATCTATCCTGAATCCGTTGAGTTGGTCAGTATCTCGAAGGAGGATTGTATTAAACTTTGGTAGTGCTGTTTCTCAAGTTGTCCAGTCTTCTTCAGTTTTAGTTCCGTCTTGGCCACAACCAGGCAGTGATCTAAAGCAACGTCAGCTCCTCTCTTTGTTCTCATATCCCTCGTGGGTCTGAATCTTTTATCGATGCAATTGTGATCGATCTTTTTCTCTATAGTAGGACCCGGTGAGACCCATGCTACTTTATGTATTCATTTTTGGGTGAATATTGAGGTACTTATAATCGTTTTGTTGAATGCCTGTAAATTTGCAAATCACTCCCCATTTTCGTTCCTTTCTTACAGTTTACATCATTTCATTATGTCTCACTACTGATACATTTCCGTAAGAATATACAAGATATAATTTCCAGAGGTTCTCATTTCTACATTTCGTTTTAGGAATTAAAAAGAAAGACGTTTGTGAAATTTTGTTTGTTCATGTTACTTCAGCTCAATCAATATTCGTAAACACTGTCATTAAAGGTATTTATAACTAGCTGTCAATATTTTTACAGAACTGATCTAATTGTTAAGAAGGATTTTACAAGATGAATACAGCAAAAAAAGAAGTGGAAACCCCTTGCAGTGGGGAACCTGGTAAAGTGTAGAGAACGGAACCACATCGTAGCAGGAGGATCAGGGTCAGAGAAGCTGACTCCGAATTGTGAAGGACCGTACATTATCACGGAGAAGCGTAGCGCGGTTTACACTATCCGGAAAAGAGACAAACACAAGCGCGTAAATGCCAGTCAACTACAGAGATGGTTTCAAGTGCATCATGATGGCGAGTCACAAACAGCGGTACGACGATCAGATGAACTGCGAGAACAGCTTATGAAAAGAAGAGGACGAGCGTGGTGCATGCTACTTATATTGACAGGTATACGTAGTACGTAACACCGGTCATAAGAGGAAGGCCTGTCAAAAGAAGGTTGAGAAGATTGAAACAAAGAAATCACAAAGGGAAACAGAAAGGAATCGAGAAGTGGAATAATCATGAAGCTGTAAAGGACAATTGTTTTCTACATTTTAGGAATGAACCTGTAATTTTTCTGTTTAACCTAGTGTAAATATATTATTATCTGTCCAACTGCAATAATAGGGGAATGAGTGAACTTCATGATGATGACGTGGTATTTCAAGAGTCAGCATAACTGGGATGAGCCAATAAAGAAAATTGAAAATGTGAAAAAAGAATGTGATTTCACGCACACAAGTGGTAACTTAGCATATTTTACTATCAGGAACATACGACTGAGAACAATTCTGAAAAGCATTATTACGACTATGAAAAATTTCACTCATATACACAGGACAAGAAAATATGATTAACCAATTTTTTTTTCAAAATCAACAAGCGACTGACACACGGGACTGTGAGAAAAGGTGCAATAAGAAACAATATAGCATCATTATACAAGACAATAATGAAACTGTAGTGACGATTATGAAGAGAAAACACGCCATAACAACTAGATGCAAAAGAACTAAGTCAGTCTAATTTATTACTTAAACGTAAAATGGAAACAAGAAAAATAAATCGGTTCAGTCAAAGGTTGTACAAACTTATTTTATGTGCAAAGGTTAGGTTTTTGAATGTGGATTCCGATAACAGAAGAACTCGTAAACCATGTAGTAAATTTGATGGAATATGATGGGTAACCTTAAAAGCTTTATTCAAGTCAATTTGATGTCCTGAGTCCGTCAAGTGAGCGAGAATAGAACTCCTAATTACTCTTACCTGTCCTTTGTTCAGCCAAGTCGGATAGTGTTCTGCTATGCGAAGATAGACTTGACGATTTGTACGCTCTGAAAAACATGGATGTGGAGAATTCACGTAGTTTATCTTTGCTAACTCTTCTCATTATGGGGCATTTAATCTGGCTTCAGTAAATGCTTTCTGTACAGCCTTTTCAACCTTTGAATCACAATTTCTTCGGTAGAATCATTTGAGAATTGTTATTTTAAGAGCAGTACTTTCTGCAGAATACCAGATACATTCGGTCTTATTTTAATCTCATTCTTGTGTTTAGTGATGAATGTAGTTGAATATTTATTCCTACTAAGCAGGTTACGAATATTACTTAATTCATATACTAAGGTGTCTTCACAATTAATCATTCTAGCACGATGAGTCAGGATCTTTACTAAGTTTCTTTTGTATCTGATTGGTACAGCACTATACAGAAATGAGTATATTGTCCAACTGTCGACTTTGTATGTATCTCTCTTCTTTTTAATGTTCCACCTATTTACTTACTTTTCCGGCACCTGATTTTAGAGTAAAAAATTGTATTTATTCAAATTAGCAAATATACGTATTTCTAAAATTCAAGATAAAACTTATGATTAGATCTCCATTTTATTTCTTGTTCATTTTTCCAGTTAATGATCTTCAAATACAGTTGGACGAAAATTTGGCTAAATTTTTATCAAAATAATATCAAATTCCCCTTATTTCTTTTGCTACAGTTGTTTTATCTCAAAGATAAAGACTTTTTGGTTAACATTTTAATTACTCTTTGTTATTTAATTATATTTTATTGAATGACGTGAGACTAACATTTATTATAATTTTTCTATCGACTAGAAGTCTGTTGTCATCTATCGATATGATAGAAAATATCATTGTGCAGTGTTTTGATTTTCGTTAACAAAGTGTATGATATATTTCAGGGTACGTTTCAATCAGTTGGGATTCTAAGGATATACTCACTCATTTACTTAATTACACCTGTTACTCCTCGTGGAGCAGCATAGGCCGCCCACCAGCACTCTCTATTCAACTAAGTCAGGGGAAATCGTTTCCAGTTGTTATTCATCCTTTTCATATCTGCTTCTATTGCCTGACATAATATGTTCTTTGACCTTCCTCTTTTCCACTTCCTTCAGGGTTCCAGGATAGGGCTTGCCTTGTGATGCAGCTTGGTGATTTCCGTAATGTATGTCTTATCCAATTCCAGCGTCTTTCCCTAATTTCCCCTTCAGCTGGAAGCTGGTTTGTACTCTCCCACAAAAGGCTGTTGTTGATGGTATCCGGCCAATGGATGTTGAGTATCTTGCGTAGACAACTATTTTTAAATACTTGTGCCTTCTTGTTGGTGGTTGTAGTAGTTCTTCACGCTTCAGCTCCGTACAGTAGAACTGTCTTGGCATTCGTATTGAAGATTCTGACTTTGATATTGGTTGAAAGTCGTTTTGAATTCCATATGATCTACAATTGTAAGAATGCGGCCTTGTTTTGCCAATTCTCGCCTTTACGTTTGCATCCAATCCTCGTTGTTCATCGATAGTCCTTCCCAGGCACGTGAAAGATTTCACATCTTCCAGAGTTTCTCCATCAAATATGATTGGTTTGGCGTTCTGTGTGTTGTATTTGACGATCTCGCTAACCAGAAAAAAGGATACGACATGCACTATAATATTTTTATTAGTAGCTCACAGTGAAAGTTAGGGTTAGAATATCATGTTTTATTTAGAAGTTGTTAGATGAAAGAATCATATCCAATGTTGATTTTACCATAGCGATTCAAAACCCAGTACACGTTCACTCAAAAATGAATGTGTATTTCTATAGTACATCCAATCTTAGTAAACACAAGTTTATCCACCAGTCATTACAGTTTATTATTATTTGTTATGGCTTTTATGTGTCTGTTGTTGATATTCAGTTTTGAATTAAAAGTTTTTTCACAGATTGAAATCATGAGTCAGTTGAAGCTAGACCACCACTAAAAACCTGGAAGCACTGGACGGCCGTTTCGTCCTAGTATAGGACTCCTCAGCAGTGCGCAGCCACGATCCCGCACCCCGCGGTATCCGAACCCAGGACCTACTGGCCTCGCGCGCGAGCACTTAACCATTAGACCACTGAGCCAGCACTCAACGGTGTTAATTTCTAACTTCAACCAATCCACGAAGTTGCGCCACCACATACCATTCTCTTTAGTGAGCTGATATCTCACAACAGACCTTGTTGAACTCCACTGGTAACGGCTCGCGCGCGAAGCCAGTAGGTCCTGGGTCCGAATCCCGCGGGGTGCGGGATCGTGGATGTGCACTGCTGAGGAGTCCCATACTAGGACGAAACGGCCGTCCAGTGCTTCCAGGTTTTCAATGGTGGTCTAGCTTCAACTGACTCATGATTTCAATCTGTGAAAATTTCTAAAATCTCCACAAAACCCTCATGATAAAAGTTTTTTATTGATATCTAATTTAGCCCTAAAGATTAAAATTAGTAATACCGGAATTACCACAAATAATTATGACATTACCATCATGTCCATTGAACATGTGAATGGCTATCAGAACGCAGTAGCTCAGTGGATAATTCGTTGATGTATAGAGAAAATGGTACTGGATTTAAGTCGTTATGTGAACATCAACACTGGAATGCAGGCATATCCACCTGACAAGTCTTAAACAGGACAAAACATTCACAATGAGTTCCATCGCTCATAAAAATCCATCTATTCTAAAAAGTAACAATTATAATAGCTGTTGAACAAGTTGTGATTATTTATAAACGATAGCATACAGTTTTTGTTTCAAACGATTTCGACCATGCTGCCAAGTTCTGGTCTCTGATATGAAGTACTTTTGGAAAAACTAAATTTTCAATAAGAGCGTTCATGCTAAACTATAAGGTTTCTTTTCATACCAAAGTAATCCTATTATAAGAATTTCGATTAGTTTGTTTGAAGTTTTCTTTGCGCATTTCCTAACAGTTCGATGAAATAATTTCAACTAGTTTCAGTAAAGTTTCATGACTGGTAGATTTCAGAAAGGTTGTGAGTGAAACAGTTGTTGTCGACGCACTAGATTATCAGTTGACTGAAGTTTGAATTTTGCAGTTGAACAGCGACCCGGTGGTTTTAATAGTTACTTATTTACCACATGATCTGAAGGTCCTGTGTTCGGTCTTGGTCGGGTCCTGGGTGTGCATTTCTGAGGAGATCTGTAGTTGAACAAAATAACTGATCAGTTCTCCTTGGTTCTCGATGATATCTCGGTTGATATTGATCTGTGACGAATACAACCTACAAATAAGGCATAAAGAAATTAAGTACCTGCACAGAAAAGACAAACCTTCACAGCTTGCAAGTTATTTTACGCGCTTAACTAATTAGATTGTTTCTTTGAATATTGTATGAGTTCTTTTTCCTCACTTCTCTTCATTTAATTCATGATCATAAGTATGAGTTGATCTATATCAAATGTCATGTACTATATTGCTATCTACTTTTCTTTTCAAAAAAGCAAAGTAAAGAAATATCAAATAAATTCAAATACGCAAACAAAGATTCCTAGACAATTCATATCATTAAATAATGTCAGTTTTAAAAAAAGTATATCATAGAAATTCAAGACAATAAAAGACGCCATGAACGTCTCTAATAATAAGGTTATCTAGGTATGTAAGATAATGACTAAGGTCACAAACAAACGACTCGATTAAATGTCATGATATTTTATGAATATTACTTTTGTTTTTCGGAGCGAAATGAGATTTTAAACTTTACAGTGAATACAAATGTTCTATATTTTCCTGTATAATTATGTTGGTTAATTGTCGAGAATCGGGAGAAAGACATGAACGTATACTGTCTATTCCTTACTTGAGAAGCCTTTCGTTAATCTTGAAGAGACTGGTAATCCCCATAAACCGGCTATAACCAGAAACGGTTATTGGTCACTTGTTATATAAATATATATATTCATTATTATTATTATTATTATTATTATTATTATTATTATTATTATTATTATTATTCGTTCACTTCATCAAATCTGTTCAGAAGACGTGTTTGGTACTACTCAGTCAACTAATACAGAGTAATAAATTCAGAAATAGGAATCGCTAACTCAAAATGAGGAAATCTCTACGGATACTTTGTTCATGTAATCTCAACACAAGTATACTTAAAAAATTGAAGATCGACTTGTTATACTAATGCTCAATCCTCTGATTATAATGCCTTAGTCCTGGAATTACTGGAGATTCTCTATAAACTTATTAAAAGTATACAAAGGCAGTAAGAGTTTGCAGTCATAAGTGAGCTTAGTACTGAGTTTTCAAATAACACTGTAAACTAAATTCACGTCGGTTCAGTCGGACATAGATGAATACTGTGTTCTTATTTATTCAGTCATTAATTAGGTTCATGTTATCACTTAAAATACTTGAAGTTTTCCACATTAAAATTTTTCATGGCTACTTATTGATCAAATTTTTAAACTTCCCTATAAAACATGAGATATAAATAAAATTAGCATTTACTGAATCCCTCATTCGGTTGAACACTGCTGTTGAAGACGTTTCCTGGTACTGATAGTAGTGTGATACCTCTGTAGTTCTCACACTTGGTGAGACCTCCTTTCTTTGGTATCTTGATAAGGTATCCTTCTTTCCAGTCTGTCGGAACTTGTTGATCTTCCCGAATCTTGCTGACTAGATGTGGAGCGTGTTTGCAGTTACCTATATGTCTAACTTTAGTGCCTCAGTTGGTACGTTGTCTGGTTCCGCTGCTTTTCCACTCTTGATTTGTCTGATGGCCATGCTGATTTCTTCGATCGTTGGCGAGGTGACGTCCATGGGTAGGTCTTTGTGCGCTACATCGATGTCTGGTGATTCAGTTGGGTTAATGCATTCAAGAGTTCTTCATAGTGTTCTAATCACCTGTTTGTCTGTTCTCGAATGATAGTGATTGGCTGCCTTCTTTTTTCTTGACTAGTCGCTCTGGTTTACTATATGTAATAACATAAGTGCAGAACCATGATGAAAAAGTTCATAAGAGATTTTTTCACTTGTGGTTTGCATTCACTTAATGTATGGATTAAAAGTTGAATTCAATGTCAGTCTTCAGAAGTAGGGCAATTACCCACCGATGGTATTGGATGTATGGTCCACCGGGGTGTTTGGTACCTGTGTGGTTGCGCCACAGGATTAAGCTGTACTATTCAGATTGTAGCGTTAAAGCCTATACGGTGTCTGGTTCTCCTGTGAAGCGGGATTGAGCTGTACTGTTTGGGTTGTCACATGAAAGTCCGGACGGTGTCTGGCTCTCCTGAAAACCAATGTAGAATTACCCTGGCCCACAGAGGTATATTATATAACTGTGGTATTTGATGTTGTTTGGGTAATTTTGTGGTATGTGCTATTAACATCGAAAGATATGAATAGTATGTGTCATCAATGGAAAGTGAAATACCTGGGGCAGAAATTAAGAGGATCAAAGAAAAGAGAACGAGAACAAAGAATAATTGGTGTGGAAACGAAAGATCAATGAA